CAATCGTTTCGGGAACACCGCATTCTGAGATAAGATGGCGTAGGTGTAACAAAACAGCGGAAGTGGTTGCTTATCTAATTTGAAAAATTTCGGGCCACTTTGAGTAAGCATTGCCAATGACCAGATAGTGCAAAACCATCCAGGGGTCCGGCAAAATCAATATGAATGAGAGACCATGTTCCACTTGGAGTTTGCCAAGAATGAAGCTCACATTTGACAGGTAGTTTTGATGCCATAGAGTAGCCGTTACAGGAACGAACCACATTTTCCCTATCCTTGTTCATGAATGACCAGTAGGCATAGCTGCGGGCTATGGATTTCATATGACTGATTCCCGGGTGTACTTCGTGGAACTGACTGAGAACCTTCTTCTGTAGAATCTTAGGAATCCCAACATGGTCAGATAGCCAAGCAACCATCATTGGTGGTTAAGGCGAACTTCCTTTTACGTAACTGCTCACAATAAATGTCCAAAGAGTGTGCAGACCAACTAGCGTTGAGGTACCCAATAATACGTTGTAACAGGGGATCTTTTGCTGTTTCTACTCGGACTGCAACTGCTGTTACTGCAAGTTGACGTACGTACGCTTGCTGTCTAGTCTCGGGATCTGAGGTAATGCTGGATAAAACAATGTCTTCATTCGGTGTCTTGGACGTACAGTCGGCAATCTGTCTGGATAATGCGTCAGCATGACCAAGCGAAGACGTACTTTTAAAACACAAATCGGAATCGTATGCTGATAGGGTGGTTGCCCAATGCTGCAATCTGTGCGCCGTGTGAACGGGGATCTCTCGTTTAGTGCAAAAACTAGATACCAAAGATTTATGATCTGTACAAGGTAAATTTGCGTCCATCCATTTCCTAAGCACGAACACTAAAGCTAGTCCTTCTTTCTTTATTTGGCTGTAGTTCTTTTCTGCTGCTGTCGGCGCGCGGGAAACATGCCTTTTGATGTCCATTTGGGAACTGATGCAGAAAGACACCACCGACACCGTTTTGCAATGCATCAGCAGCGACAATTGTTGGTAATCCTGGGTCATAATGAGTTAAAAAGAGATCGGAGACAATATTTGTTTAAAAGGCTTTCTGGCACTGCGATGACCAATGCCACACGTACTCATTCGCCAGAAGTGTATTTAGTGGAGCCATGCGTTCGTGCATCTGAGGGACACAGTTGTGGTAATAGTTAACTAGACCCAAGAAAGATTGCAGTCTAGCTTTGTTCGTGGGGTTTAACATTAATCTGATGGCTTTTATTTCGTTTGGGTCTGGCCGACGACCGGAACTGTCGATAACGGAGCCAAGGTATGTGATACTGGGCATCGTGAGCTGGTACTTCGCTGGACGTAGACGAAATCCATCTGAATTTATCCTGGAGAATAATTTGTTCAGGTGGGTGTAATGATTTCCAGTGATGGAGCTTACATTTATTATGCTACAAAAATTATTATGTCACCTAAATAAGCCATGTCACACTGTAATCCGGAAAGTATAGCGTCTATCATTTGTTGAAAGATCTCTGGAGCACATTTTACTCCGAAAGATAACCGATTGTAACGGCACAAGCCTCGATGATTATTAATAGTGAGCAGTTCTTTTGAGCGCTCCTCGACCACTACTTGCAAGTACGCATCAGAATGATCAGTTTTAGAATTGATCTTTCCTCCAGTAAGCTTTTTGAATAAATTCTCGGGAACAGGTAAGAGATATTGAGGCGTTTCCAATGCATTATTTAATCCCGTAGAAAAATCAACATAGATACACAAACCTTCAGTTATCTTTTATGATGGCGACAATAGGAGAGGTCCACGCTGAGTAGATCGTCGAACTGATGATGCCCATGGACTCCGGTCGACTAATCTTGGCATCCGCTGCCTCAACAGAAGCGTATGGTACTGGACTTTTAGGACAAAAATACTGGACGTACACTAGTACGCGGATACAACACAGTTTTTACCTAAGAACACATTCCAAGACCTTATGCAAAACATTAGGGTACTTAGAGGAACAATGTGATAAAGCTTCTGGATAGTGTTTAAACGCTACAAGTGTAACCGAACAATAAACATCGGTGGGACACGGTGAAAAGCTATCCAGGTTATCACAAATACTGTTCAAAGGTATTCTCCATAAATTAACTTTGTCTATACAATCTTTGTATAACAAGTTCAAATGTCCGTAACGCTTAACGTAACAAACATCATTGGCATTCAAAGTACTAATTTCAAACTCACAATTGAACTGTTCAAGAAAGGGTTATTCCGAACCAGATGTGTCCTGATCGACGTGTGAATTTTGAACACATACGGGCTTACCGAGCTTGCTTCATGTCGACTCACAGATTATTGTAATATCGGAAGCCGTGTCCAGTTGAAGCCGGACAAACATCGTTTATCACAATCGTAACATACTTCCGTAGTGACTGATAGTTCGGGCTAGGGGTTGCAAATACCACATTTGAAACGCAACGTTGCGAATTTGGTTTTTTGGCGAAGTTTCCTGACGGTCTTCTAGCGGCTCCCTGCAAACATCTGGCAAATATATGGTCTGGATTCACAAAATCGAGCGAAATGCCACTGACCACAATGCCAGCAGGCTCTAGACGGACGGCCTCAGCTTGCAAATCTGAGTGGCTTCCTGAATTGTGAGATGGCCTGGAGCGTGTGCGAATAGAATGAACATCCACAAAACAACACTCTCTGGACCGTTGGATCACTTCGGTGTCATGTTTCCGTGTCAAGATACGTTCACCTTCCTGTACCCCACCCCTCTTAGCCTCCCCTCCAACCACGATCTCATTATTTAGCCTTATATAATTTTGCATAGTAATTTTTTCTTGATGCACAGCAGCCGGCTGGTGGCTTACCGGAACGATGCCCATCCGTTACCGGTAGCTCAGCCAGCTTGCACCAGTTGCATTTTTTCTCCTCTTTTTCTATGTATTGCGGCAGAGTAGCTGTGTTTCCCACCTCTAGCTAACATGTATGATGATGATGATGATCGTAGTGACATTTCTGGATTGGACTCCAACCTACATAACAAACATGTTCGAATCTCTGCATCCACAAACAAAGATGGGCATTTTAAACTGATCATTTATGAGTGTGCTAAGCTGAAAACATTCACGTTCTCTGTTAACAACAGCTGCATAAGTCACAAAATCATTCTCCTGGTGTTTAACAACTTGAAAACATCGGAAACATGCTTTCACAAATAATTTTTCTGGGTGGAAAATCTTGGTCAAGTATTTCACTGTGTCGTCTAATGATATATCGCGTGGGTTCTTGTATAGAACCTAATTAGAGTGCCTTTCATACTCTTGTGGACCCAATTTCCTCAAAAGAAAACGCACCTGTGCTGCATCGTCTAGCTCACGCCTATCAATTTTTAACAAATCTTCATAGCGGCGAATCCATGCTTTGAAAGTGAGGTCATCCTCCACCTGGTAATGAAATTCTGCCATACTATGCGTCAGCTTGTCTGCAGTGGAAACCGTTGAGTCCGTAAATGCTGGCTGTCAAGACATTCGTGTTGTCGATTTTTCGATTAAGCCTTGTTCTGACGCCTAGAACTGTGCTTGCTGTCTGGTCAGCATTTCTTGAAGAAATTCCAAAGGGACCGTCATAGTTTGCAAACTGGAATGCCGTCGCCAGTCTTTTATAAAGTCTGACTGTAACACAACCCATTCCGAACGGAAAGCAAGAACACACGACGCGAGCTGTATTGAAAAGCTGACATAAGTGAGCAACCGGGAATGTACAAAGATCAAAACCGATGAGAAATTCAAGCATACCTGTGCACCAAGTTTGCACCGTGTCTCCCTTGCCAACAATTGGCTATCTCGTGACACGGGTAATCGAGCCGATGACACCTGATGGGTAGACCCTTTGTCAGTGCCCGCGTCAAGAGCGTCAGCGAGGACGAAATACACACTCATTAGTGCAAAGTTATTGAAGCCGCAGTGATCATGTATAGGCTACATTGCTCGCACTGTTGCCTAGTAAGTATACGATAATAGTGGTTGCACTTCGTAGTTGTTATGACACCCCCGTTTTGTCTGCACAACACTTCTAAATGATCACCTCTTCGGTGCCTTCTTGACAAAACCCCCTGTCAGTTCAGCTGATAGCACACGCGACCAGGTGGCCAAGATAAAAAGGTTGGTATTACCATAACTGCCTGTATTTTGTTACTCGTTCATCCATTAAAGGGGACTTTGTGGGTTAATGTGGGACTAGATTTCGGAGTTTTGATGACCAAACCACCATCCAGCGATAAGCCGACTTCAAATTCTCGCCGTCATAACTTATAGTGCTCGGTAGCGCCAGTCAGCTCACAGCACTGCCACAACCGGAGCCTATATGTGCGGTGGCAGACAACTGTGACCCAGAGCATTTCTCGAAATACTACCAAGGCGTGGATGAGAATGAAACGCCTCCGCCAGGTAAGCACTTTAGGCTCTTTTCTCCTACCTTGAGACTGGGAGGCGATTCATGACCATTTTGTTATCGTGTAACTATTCACCGGAGCAGGAACAAAGAAATTCAATCTTCTATACTTACCCGGGGAATAGATTTTCGCAAAGGATCGTCATTAAAGATGTGGGGCTGATCTCTGATCAACGAAACGCAAACTGATCGCCCATTTGTTTCGTGGTGCAATCCATAGTATAAGGGCTCAGCAAATGAAAATTCGTGTCACAACGTCTGCGGTTTCGATATATGTCTTGCTAATACTGCTTTTGCATGTGATGCCATCAGCTTGGATCCACTTATGGAGTACTCTTTGTGACTATAATATTTTAGATTGGTGTATGCGTTGTGACGCTGAATGTTTGCTTCATGCGTCTAATCTTTCACGTTGGTGGATACTTCCCAATCTCACTTATGTTCGGTGTTAGTAAGGCAGAGAAACGTAAGGACGAATTGTCCGTGTACTGATAATGATGCATTTACTTATCCATGAATCTTATTTTTCCGTCCCCATTCCCATACCACAGTCACTGAATTAATTTCCACTCACGTTGAGAGACGAACGGGCACAGGGCTGCGCATTCTCTCACTGATGCATAGACACGAAGCGTTGCCCGATTCCATGACTTTCGAGATCGTCAGCAATGAGCTACTGTCCACTGACTGTGTTGAAAGTGGGTACATTTTGGACGGAATGCCAACTACCGATGAAGGGATGCCGAGTGTACCATCTCAGCTAGAATTTCTACGCCATCTTCTTCCTCGCCCCCGGTTCTGGGTATATGTTGATGTAGGTCTCGTTGGGCAGACCAGCAGTTCCATTGTTCCTTGCGTTGTGCGTTAGAGTTCAAATCTCGTTCCTTGCTCTGAACCGAGTAAGTTTTCATCAATGGAGCAGCAAGCCTTTCGAATATTTGGTTTTCATTCAGTTTGCTAAATTCCGCATGAATTTTACCCATTACATAACGCAAGTTACCGGTGCTTTCGCATTTACCTATATTATGTGTTCATACTTATTCATGTCAGCTTCAGTTAGAACGGACTGTTTTTATACATCCTAGAGTAATAAGGATTCAAGAAGAACACACGCTTTTACTATTGATGGTATAGGTGCATTATTGCATACGAATACCGATACATGAAGCAATCCAACGTTGGATGGTTGTTATGGCACCACGAATCCTATTCTCCTGTTGTTGGGGAGATGCCGACCGACGAACTTCGAGCTTATGTGCAGGCTTTCATTCAACGGAGGAATTGGATGCACATTCATATAGTACGTTACGATTTTGGTGGCCGGCATAGCCCACATATAATAATGGCGATCAAAGTTTCTCAAGCAATGAGACTAGCTTGCTATAATTGTTTCTGAACTAGCAGGTACAGTCAAATGTTTACTCAGTAAAATTAGAGGTTAGAACACCCGCTGGAGCAGCAAGCTTACAACGATGAACCACCGAACCAAACTGAGAGAGACGAAGGGGAGTCTCAGCGGTAAAGCATGCATCGACAATTTCCTGATTTAAGTGGGCATTTGGGTTAAAGAAGGTGATCACACTAAGTCATGGTTCAGTGCGACTCCTAGATGCTTTGTTGCTGTGGGGATGGGTGCAGTCCCCAAATATCGCTGCGAACCTGGTGACACACCTTGAGAAGACCCTGACAGCAGTCCTCTTATGTGATGGAGAATATATCGTTCCGTATCGGCGCACTCAATGGTACAGTGGTTAATTTCATACAGCCTTTGGGCTTTTTTCAGATATTTTTGCACGTTGGCCGAACGCCCTGTGAATAGATGCTTGGCACACAGAGTCATCGCTTTCATATCTAGTAGGCTTCCTTTTTCAGCGATGGTTAATGTGACAAAGAAAGAGTAACCGAGATCATCGCAGTCTGGTGCACTGAAGCGCATCGGGGTCTTTTAATGAGCATAGAAGATCAGTTGTTAGTCAGAAATTTAACTAACTAGGCAGCACTATCAGCGCCTGTGTAACAGATCTAGTCCCGAACGGTATGGAGAAATCTCAGGACGCGTTTGCTTATCTTCACTGTATATAGTGCCGGTGCGACATCATTCGTGCTCTGAAGAACACAGACCACATTGCTACCATTTCTTCAACCCCACCGTACACTTGTGGAACTAGGTTCATCAAATTCACAGACATGAAGAAATTAGTTGTGCCCGACTACCGGTGACTTCGAAGTTTCATCCGTATCTGTACCTTCTCAACTCGTTGCATCTTTCCCAAAATGCTCGCATCGGTCACGCTTGTAGCTGCGTCGTGTGCACCTTATGACACGTTGCAAGCGTGCACTCGTATTAGCCATACTCAATAACTGTTCATTGCAGTTGGTGGCAAGGCGATCATGTGATCTCACGTCGCGAACGCAGTCCATATGGCTCAGACGAGTGCGCATGTGCAATGTCACATGACGCACGCGATGCAGCTTCAAGCATGGCCGATGCGAACATCGAGGAGAACATGACAACGAATAGAAAAGGTGTAGCGGTTACGCCGTGTGACCAATGGGCGAGTGGACTGCTCAGCACCGTTGTTTCACGCCCCAGCGTCTGGCGGAAAAGGCAACAGTACGCCGCGCAACGACCAGTATCGCGTGTGGGTTGAGAATACTGACAGGGTCGCCCTGTCCGCTACGCAGACTCGAACCGGCGACCTCCGGATGGCAAGGCAGGCTTGTGATCTTTAAAGCCACGAGCCGGCAGTCGATGGCCAGTTGATGAAGGTCAAGAGAGATGAGGTCTCTCACTTGAAATTTAGTCTTGGTTAGTGCCTCCCCTAACCCGAGGGTGTAGGTCCAAAAGACGTTGATCACGTTTGGTTAGTGACATTTGTTCACATGTGCTAGATAGGACATCAGGATCGCTTGTGTTGCAAGTTTGTCAGCGCATCGAAGGGGTGAATCCTACACACACGTATTTATGCACCTACGTACGCATACATGCACTGTGCAGCCTGCCGACGTAACGCGCAGGAAATCGGCTGAGGAGGCATCTCCTTGCCGCTTGACTTCCTCCGACCGCGGTCGCATTCGTGATGCGTAATAAAAAGAGGGACATTTCGTCCATAGTCCGTCCCACCTGCTTCTAAATCAGCAAGTCCTCCATATGTCCGAAAATGTACTAAACTGCAGTTTTAATCTGTTGGATATCATCAGTTGTGCGCATTCATTGGACCCATCAGGACTCGAGGTCATGGCCATCAGCGGCTTGCACCGGCAGTCAGCTTTGTCAAAATGTTCATAAATTCATTTTGAACGTCTGGAGACAAATAAGAAGTGCTGATTTTTCATAACTGAACTGTCACCAAATCTTCACAAAGAACAGTGTTATACCTGGATGACTTATGTAGAAATTCTGAAAAATTCCCTCCTGGACATCTCGGTGGCATGAAGCGCCACATACTACTTGGCGAAAAACCTGACGATATCCAGTAGTCTAGCCAGAATTTTACGTCACCACTGTTTCCTTTTCCACAAGCGCTTGCTCCATTTTGTCAGTTGCTTTTCGTTCAGCCAACCATATCTCCAGTTCCTTGCATTTGAGGAGTGCCTCCGCGTGCGATTCATTAGCTTCCTATTCACCTACTTTTAGATTTAAGTTCCCTTCGTCTCTGAAACCCACATCAGTAGAGAAACTAGACGGATCCGGTTGCCAACATTCAGCAGCCAAATCAAAACAAGGTCTGTTTGCAATGATAGTACACCAAACATGTTCACAAATCCCGATAAAACCAGTTCCTTGTTGGCTTCCTAGCTTCAATTTTGTATTCTTCCCAGGTCGTACTACTTCTTTGAATGCACAGCAACAGATCCCAGTCAGACAAGCAAAATGAGAACTTCATGACCAATCTTAACAGAAAACATGTAGACCTTCCTACGATTGGTTTTTCTGCTTGCTGTCGTGCCAGATAATGGTTGTCTTCCAATTCCTCAAATACACTCACATCTTTCGCGTCAAGATTACAGATATTTTCTGCTGCATCAATGCAGTCAGTGTTGCTTTCAGTTACTCCGGTATCAACACTTGTATTACCAATCTCGTCGTCGGTCTCATTATGATTATCATGGAAGTACTTTTGGTGAATTTTACCTAGTGTCGAATAATCATTTGTGCTAGATGTCGCCCGGGAATTACCGTCTCCGGCCCCCATATGCTATCCCCCTGGGAGGGATAGAGAAACTCATAACACAAACGCCACTGAGGCTGGCTCTCAGCCATGTCGACAATTGTACTCAGCCAAACGTGCTTATCGTTCTTCGGATACTCAGCTAGGCAGTCGGGAGACACCAACGGACGCCAACTTCAGGAGTGAGGGCTTTCATCCCTCTTGACCAAGTCCTCCCATAGCCTCCTCTCCTCTTCTTCCATCTAGACCCCGAGCGCTCAAACAACCTAGGTCGAAGGAGTCAGTGAGCTAGCATGCGCAACACGTGGCCCAGCCATGGAACCGGGGTGCTGAGCGTTCACTTCCTTCTCCTGTCCATAAAAAAGGCACTGAACATATTCATTGCACCGCGATGTTCCCACCGGGCATGAGCTAAACTGTGAAGGTAGTGATTGCCGAACATACAAGCTTGTCTATGTCTCTCAACAATGGTTCATGTTTCACAACCGTACAGGTTTGAACGCACGACTGCATCATAAACTCTGCCTTTCATGGCAAGAATGATGTGTGGGCCCCACCGGTGACGGAAATGGGCAAAAGCGCCTCAACATTTTGCTATGCGCTTCGTGAGTTTATCTTTAATTCCACAGACACTAATATAGCTTATGTGTACAGTGTTACCAGCCTTGATGGGTGAGTGATATACACACCTATCAGTAAGGAAAACATGGGTGTTATAAGTTGCGTAAAGACTGGACGGCATATAAACAGTGATCTCCGTGAAACGAGATTATGCTGCTGTCTACATTCGTACCCTGATCTCCAAACCGTCGTAAACAACATTCCCTACTTATTCCGATCCGTCCACTTGGAGATAGACCTAGAAGCGGACAACTGTCTATCTACATGTACCCTGTATCTGTTTCTATTTGTATTTCCCCCTTCCTTTTCGTGTTACGTCATTATGCAACGGATATTCAACGTGTGTTTATGAGGTATCGACTTTCACTGGAATATTAACTGTAAGGGTTCCACAATGTTGGGATGGAGGACTATTTTATGTCCAGCGCAGCTTTAAATATATCAATGTCCATTGATCGTCAACTATTGAAGTGCTAAGAACAATTCATTTACGAAGTGAATCAGGGTACGTATTTTCATACCGTTGTCCACAAAATGCATCCTAGATCTCCATTGGACATATTTCAACGGTACTTGATATTGATGCAAACTCCGACAGACTACGTTCCTTACGTTTAGGACACCTAGTCCCAAGACTATTTCACGCACACTGGTGTCGATTTCCCATCCATGGTCTGATTTCGGCGTGGTTACCATAAATGATGTTGGATTTCTTAACTAGGATGTGATAATCACACTACCGGGTTACTGATTTCAGTGTTGATTGATCAACTTCTCGCACTTTGTCAAACTAGTGCCTTTCCATTAAACCCACTTCGCCTTAGACAAACATTCTTGAATGAACCAGCTGCATTTCCCGACTTTGACGCCTAACCTGCTGCATCCAGTTGCACGGTGGTGCCCCACGATTCTCTTGTGACTAAGCCCACAAATCAGGCATTTCAAATGACCGGATCTTTCTGCGCCTTGTCCATTGCGACGGCGGATATTTCCACTGCTAGCCGAGTACATATGTTATACACCACTGAGTCTTCAGATGTAAATGTTCTTGTATTATGCATGCCGCTTGAGGACT